CTCGTCTTCTCTAATACCACTGGTCTTAGAGATTTTGATCGAATCTCATGCTTCATTACGTTGTATTTGGTGAGTTCCGACAGCACTAAACGAAACTCCTCCTCGGATATCTTACAATCAGCCATTGCTGTCGAAATTTGATCCTCAATGCTGTTCAACTTTGCTTCGGCGAGTATCTGAATCTTATCGTGTTTTAATGCTTTCTTTTGCAACCTACGAGAAATGAATTTTATCGTTATTCCTGCCAGTCCTGAGACTCCGGCCGCTATTTCCATGCCGAGCACGATAGGCGCGGCGATTATAGTTGATAATAAACCAACACCTGCTACACCGAGTCCCATGCAAGCTATTACAAGCGTGGTGTCAACTCCGTCCAGAGTATTCACGACTCTGCGATACTTTTTATACAATCCAAGTCTCAACTCCCTATCCTTCTCTATTCGATGTTTTATGTTGCTTATTTGATGTAATCGAAATCCATCAACAGTATCCATCTTTTCAAATGCTTCATCGAGCGCCGGATATAAACTCATAGTGTATATTACGGTCATATAATAGTCTTTAATTGATCTTGCTTAAATGTTTTGAGACTATACATCAACCTTATTAAATGTATATTATACGGCAAGAATATCTTAGAAAGAGAAATGCTGTCACTTTTAATAATTTGAACCCCCTCTAGGGTTGCAACGGGTGATGCTCCAATATGAATAATACTGCAACGTTGACGCTCGTGTTTCTTGAGCCATTTAATAGATAGACCTGGTAATATTTCGAAGGCATCTTCCGGTGCATCTCCGAACAAGACTTCAATAATAAGCATAGAAATATTAGGTATTGCACTCAAGTTAACTTTAATATCATTGAATTCAGTAACCAAATTTAAAGTAACATTTTTTACTGCCGGACGACTAAATAACATATGACAAGGGTCTTTTGGCAGGGGAGAGACTAACACACTTTTTCGTTTTCATGGGATATAAGCCGCGAGTACGATCCCACTATTTATTATCTTAGTTAAAGTATGTGCCTTACCCATCACAGGGTTCGCCCTTACGCAGAAAACCTGCATATTTGACGCATAAATAATTGAAAATACGCTAAAAATATTTTCTACTGCGTCAGTGTTGACGCAATGAAACAGCCATTACAATTAGTAAACTGAGACCTTTCCGTTTGTCAGAAAGAAAATACAGAGACCCCTCGTTACAACGCTACCCTCGTGGTCCAAATAATTGATGAGCGTTATAGATGATCAGCGGTTAACTCTTTCAACACCGTAGGCCGGTTTTCAGCCAAGAAGCATCGAGTCCCCAGACACCGTAAGTGGGTTAACCGGCCAAGCCGTAGTCACGTCAAAATAGTATATATTTTTATGGACCTACCTGTAATATCATTCATTTATTAAATCTATCACATTTCACAATGTCTGAAATACGTATTCCATTTCAATTTATAATTTTTTATCGATAAATTAAAAAATTATTCACTATTTCCCCGCGATGTTGTTGAAAATAAAATTCTCGGACACACATTTCGACAACGGGTCCACATCGAACATGTCAAAGAGCAAAATAAAGGCGTGTTAAACAAATCTTTAAATATATTATACAAAGTAATAAATAAAATCAACCAGTATATATCTAAAAGTAATCAAGCTTACATCTAAGTTATTATTTCCATCTTATTGTGCAATCGCGTGTAATATAAGACATCTCGGCTTTCGTCGCCTTGAATTCTCGGCTCGGACACGAAAAATATATGCGTGAAAAATCTTTGTCACAGCTCGTAACCTAGCACGATACATTCACGAAGTTCCATATTTTTAATATGTATCGTGATTTCCTGCTTAAAACGTTCAGAATAACGATTTAACAAAAACCTTTCGCCAACTTCTGAAATTTATCCTCAAGAGCTTGGTATCATAGCTGTAATTTGATTGGCTGCCTTAGGTCACGTGCTCAAAATTGACCAATCGCGAAACAGATTTTGGCATGAAAGCGTCATTGGAAATCAATTTTATTCCAATGAAATCGCTTGTTATACCTACGAAAAAAAACAGGCGATGTTACGAGTGTGTAGATAAAGGAATAAGCTTTCTAGCGATGTGTCATTTGCCTTTCGTCGACGAACGTGTTATTCATACGAAGCCTCGAAAACGGGGGTATTTCTTCATGTTACTGAGCGGACAGCCGCTGTTATTGGGAAATGGGTATAATTCTTTTTAAAATGATTTTCAAATTACGTAAACAATGAAAATAAAACAGAAATAGGTAAGTGGATTTTATGAAATCTTATATTTGCCGAAAATCGTCAAGTTTTCGCTTCCTTGGTCCTTAATCTGGATGTTAACAACGTATTAGCTTACATTTTTTATTTACACCGAACTTAATAAAGTTGTAAATGCATTATTTTATATAATGTGAAAAACATAACTTTCATATTTATAAACCATAGGATCATACCTTTCAAATGGTGTATAACATGTAGTGGCAAATATATTTTACAAGCAGGTATTTTCTTTGATAAATTTTGGCTTCATCTATCACACAAGAGTCTCTGGGAACTCGGTGTCCCAGCAGTAAACACTTCTGTTTGACTGGTGTTGAAAGAGTTAACGAAGGTCGAGTCACAGGTGGTAGACGACCAACACAACAGTATACATGCTCTGCCTAGTACCTATCACGATCTACGTTGCACTTTTCACAGTTTCTAAAAAGATTAGAATAGAAGTTATTTATGATTCATAGTGTAAAAAAAGATTTATCGAGTATTAGGCCCAATATACTTGACTTTGTGAATCAAAGATATTTATGTTACAGTTAAAATAATGAAGAATATAAAAAGTTAATATCTTACCTTGTTTATGTTTACTTAATTTTTCATCCTGATAGCGAGATTCTGAGATTAGTTAATATGACTCCCAAAAATTGATGAATGACTCCTAATCTGAAAAGTTGGGGGTCATAATGACTCCCAATTTTTAATGTCTAGGGCAAACCCTGCCATCATCACATACGGTGGGGTAATGACGATATTCAATTGCCACTCGATTTTTGCGTCGACCATAGTCCATTTTTTATCGTCGTTGCAAGTAATATTGTAAGAAGTGTTTTTAAACGTCGACATCGCTTAAATCTTCTAGATTACCCGTGAATGTAACTTCTTTCCGCTTGTATACATTATCTTGTAAATGTAAAGCGTATAACTTACAATCGGTACCGGGTCTACCGAATCCTTCTATGTCTCCGAGATCGGAAAGCGCAATTGTATTACATTGTCTGAGCGTTCCAGGGCCTGATGCATCAACCATTATTTATAATATGGAGTGTTACACTTAAGGTATTCCCTGTATAATGGGCAGTTTTGAAAATCATAAAACACTTTCTTTTATTATCATATACACCCTTCCCTGGATTTATTTTTAAAGTTTTATCAATATTCACTTTTCAGTTAATTTGTTTCATTAACCTTTATACGCCCACCCCCCTTTCTACAAAACTCTAAATCATGGAACAGGGGTATGTATGTTCAAATGATCATGAACTTGGCATTTATTTCTTAAATATTTCATAATAGATATATATCAGCAGGGAAATCATGTAAGTTTATGAATATAAGCAGTAAATTCAATGCAGAAGTAGTGTATTGAGGCATTCAACATATGAACTTGTAATTAGGCTTCTGAAATGCTTGTTTTTTCCATGTCTTTTTTCAATTGAGACATTGTATTTATTGCTCTGGAAGTACAAACAAGACACATAGATATGAAAACACTTCTGTAAAAACATCTGAAGTGACTATAAAATAAAAACAAGACAAAAGAAAAACAATTTACCATTATTTATTAGTATTATAACCCCAATCCTAATAACACCCCCCACCCCCCACCGCTATTTTTCTGTTTGACCAAATATAATGCCACAAAGAACCAAGCCTCAACAACTCGAAAATACTAAATATAGTGACTTAGTATAATGAGTGATGGTAACATGTGTAAACAATGAATATTTCCCTGTGTTTTTTTTTCACCTTGACAATGACCTTGACCTCTGACATTGGCCTTGCCTGCAGCAGTTCACATAAAAACAACCAAGCAACCTGCATCATTTCACCCTGGAAATGTTATAATATTGTAGCAGGGAATGAGCCTTAAGAACAAACGAGTAATACATGTGAGAATTACATATATTTACTTCAAATAAAGAATCTCTCATAAAGCACTTGGATTTTCCCCCTGTATTCTCAACTTGCGAAATTGTCCTTTACATGACAATACTTCTCAAGAATGTGAAGTTATTGGGATTTTTTGGAAAATTACACAATTGAAATGTCAAACCCATGTACATGTCAATGAGTCATTTCTAATAAAGATATGAATGAATAAATACATTTCTGTATTTCTTACAGATTTGAAAGCGAAGATGATAGATAGGCAAATACACTATTTACAATACATTATTTATATTACGTGACCATATACAATGAAAGCATGCGATACAGTACTCATGAATACACAATTTACAATGTACAAATTGGGAGCAGAAGAGCGTATGTGTCTATTACATACATATACATCAGGTGTTTCTCTAAAATTCAAAGAGACAGTATCATGTATTCCAAGTATCATAATCAACTTAGTCATGAACATCTGCACCCAGAGACAACAAAAGCATGTTGTCAAGCATTTCTATTTTCACATATACATCAACATCAAGTTTATCAGTCAGACCTGAACAGAAACGATTTCTGACTAACATAACCATCAGAAGATGACAAATTTGAAAGAACAAACCATCTGTTGCTTGGTTTAGTCCTTGTTGAGAAAGAGCACTAATTTCGGAATGACATCGTCAAGGGTTTTCTTTACATCTGTTACACGTGGCTGTCCCTCAGAGTTTTTACATGTAAATGTATTGTGAAGACCATCTTCTCCATCACGCTGAAAAATTTTGCGCAGGTGACCCAGATTCAGTCCTGATCCAGCAATTTTCTCGGCAATTGACATTTTCATGACACCTTGGGCTAAGAGAGAATGGAGTGTTTTGATATGTTTGGCCTTTTCTTTGTTGAAGAGAAGTAGATTGTGGACTGCTGATGGTGGGAAACTGAACCTAGCAAGTTCCTGAATTTTCATCTTTGTGTGAGATACAAGCTTACCAAGGACCTTTACATCTTCTATGGCATTGTGTGCTTCATATGATGAGTGCAAAAAGGTCTTGGCTAATTCTTCTTGCTTGTATGACGATTGTCCAGGAAAGGCCTTCTTGAAGACAGGTAGGCTATCAATAAGACCTGATACACAGTTGAAAAATTGTGCTTCACACTGGATGTTGATCAATGCAGATGAAAATACAGGAAAATCAAATCTTCTTCCATTATGCGCTACAAGGAATACATTGGGAAACCCACTGGGCCATTTACAAAACTTGTCAACTGCAAACTGAACAGTTTCAGGCTGGACTTGTTTCCAATTGAACGTCATTGTACCACTATTATTAACTATGATACCAGTAACCTGTTGAGCTGTAGTTGAGATTGGTACTTTTGGAAGTACATAGGTTGAGAATCCCTTTCCTGTTTCCATATCTGAAGCTGCAATCTGTGTGATATGTGGCATTTTTCCTCCACATACCGGTACTGAAAAAAAGTTCAAGCTTTAAAATCCAAGTACATACAATATGATATATAAGTACATGTATCACTTGATGCTTATTTAGGTGATGCTTTACTAATCACAGACCTATTGGCACAACAAATAAAAAATGTGTAATCATTCAAAAAGTTCATTCAAAGATGAATAATCAATTCAAATTTACTTAGGTCTGTTGTCTCCAAGTCAAATGTAATAACCGTAGCTTCTTTGCCAGCTGATACAGTCGCGAATTTCCCACGGGGTACTGCTTCAGGTAACTGCTCAACATCTACATTAGTGGTATGCCCAATACCTGTGAAATGAAATAAGTACTGTAATAAAACGTAAAACTTTTCCATATGGTACTTATTTTTTATTTATATTTATTTGCAGTCAGAGGAAGTCGGCAAAAATAAAGTTTAAACAAGCGTTTTGTTAGTTTTCTTTGTTAAATGAAAATGAAACTTACCTGACTCATAAGTGGTCCCTTCTAACACTTCATTGGCTCCCTGTGCAATTACACGTTCCTGCTTCAGGGTAACACGTCTTCTTTTTGTTGAGGGTAATTGGGATTTTAGTTGTACACGTTTTCTGCGCTTCATTTGCTTAGCAGCATATTTTACAGAAAATGTCCCGGGAGAAATTCCTGCTGCCATGTTGACCTGAAATAGAAGGATGAGTTGCTGACACAGCCTGAACAAAATAGTATGCTGTTGTTCTGTTTCTGACTATCTTTTACTTAGGAGCGTTTTATTAATTTCTTTTTACAATATAAATGAATACTTTATAAAAAAATATTTTTGTAACATGTATGTCATTGAAAAATACAAAACAAACTTACAACACTGGAACTGTAACCCTGCTTTGAAAGTCTACAAATACAAAAAACAGGAAAAACCAACATAAATTCAAAAACATATAAAATAAACATGAAAAAGCATGCATCAAAAGAAAACAAAAGCAAAGTTGAATCACATTTTTGCAAAACAAACAACAATAAAAAGCAGTTTCTGTTGAATATATACCTCAGACACATAGCTTCGTCCTTCATTAATAAAGGCTGTTGTTTGTTGCTGCAACACGAAAGTCCAGGGACTCTGAATTTCCATAATGCAAAGATTTTGGTGCCCTCAATGTGACTTCGCGATTTGCATGTTCGCACTGTTGACTGGAGCCTAAATCAGCATATTGTTCAGCATTAGCAATAACTGGCTTGAACAGTTTTTTCAGCTTTGACTGTAGTTCATCATCTTTGAGAGCTGCTTTGTAGGGTAAACTTTTATGAGTATACTTCTCATTTGATGATGTACGTCTGAAGCCACAGAATCTGGGAAAACATAAACTGTGATCTCCAAATTGATGAGGAATCAACGCTTTGAGATTTTTCTCCAGTCCTTCCTTGTTCCCTTGGTTTTTGGCGAATGCATATTTGAGACATTTCTGAATGTGCATAATCACACTCCTACTGAGCTTTTTTCCTTGCAAGGCATATAAGCTTTTCCCTATGTTTTTCACGACGTGATTTCTATCAAACCGTTTTTTCATGGTAATGTTCAAGTCTGATTTGATATGAGCAATCATAGTATTATCACCGTCTCCTTCCAGGTAATCAACAGGAGTTCCACCCTCAGAAAGCTCCTTGATGCCTTGAACCCCACTTTTACATTCCATTAACCGAGCACTACCGAAGTGATTTAGGACACATCTGTGCTTTCGGATTGGTAGTCCAGGTCTATTCCTCATCCACCACTTGCATGTGCCGCATGTTCGGTGACCCACTAGTGTTTTAACTACCTTCTTTCCATATTTGGCCTTGCTCATGAAGAACGTGTGTGCTAAAAATAAAGTTAAAAAGTTTGGTTGCATGTTTAAAATATAATTGCTGAGGCACATGTATGTCAGTATATTTTTAGGCAAACAGAATCATCATAATAAAGGTGAGGGTTGGCCTCGTTGGCCCAGTGGACTAAGGTGCTACGATGGGACATATAGTCTTTCTCCTCATGTTTCTACCTTTATGGGAAGGACCGCCACAGTACCTACTGAAAGTCACATGGGTTCTACTGTTTCTCCATCACTCATCACTGGCCACTGTCATATAGGTGAAATATTCCAAAGTGTTGTGTAAAGAAATAATAACAAAATAATGCCTCAAATTTCTTAATATACTTACATGTAAGACTGTCAAATCCCCTTTTATGCCAGGCTGTATCAACTGCACAAGACATTCCACTTCTGGTCTTGCACGGAAATCTTGATAGAAGTCTCACACCCTTCTTAGATGTTAAGATCTTCTTCTTGCCGGGTTGTTTGTGTGGGGCCTGAGGAATTTCTTTTATTTTGGCAACAAGGCTGGCTGGATTTGATGGAGTGTTTACACTGAAACACATAAAAAGAAAACTTTGATACACATCAATAAATGTTCATGTCTGGCATACCAATACAAAAATATGAATCAAATACAGCATGTACATTTTAAAAGTTAAATCCTTTCATAGCTAAAGCTAATAAGGTCTGTGAGTGAGTGAGTATGGTTTTACGCTGCTTTTAGCAATATTCCAGCAATATCATGGCGGGGGACACCAGAAATGGGCTTCACACATTGTACCCATGTCGGGAATCAAACCCGGGTCTTCGGCGTGACGAGCAAACGCTTTAACCACTAGGCTACCCGGCCGCCCCTAATAAGGTCTGTGATTATACCCGGTTTCCTTGGTGCTCTTAGAATAAGGTCCCCCCACCTGGATGTTACACCAGTGAACCATTGCAGGTTTACCTGCAGTCGAAGTCGATGGCTATATACAGCTGGCTGGGCTGAGACAATGCAGATAAAGTGACTTGTCTAAGGACACAACAAGCATCATGAAGTGGGTTTGCTAGGATTCGAACCGGCAACATTTTGATTGTGTGCCTAGTTGGTTAAACTCTCAATCATGCTCTTGGCTACATGATCAAATAAAACTATTGTTTGTGCTGAATTTTTTCAAAATTCTCACCTGTTTGAAGATGAGACTGGTGGACTTTCAATATTCGATGCTTGAGGAGTCTGGTCAGAATGTCCACTTTCATCACCAGAACTAGCATCAACTACTGGTACAGTAGAAGAGTAGGATGACATCAATAATCTGAAAAATTAAAAATGAATTATAAATTGTTTTCATGTATTGTCAAAATGTTTGTTTGAGATCAGTTATTGTTTAACTTCTGTGGTGGAGGAATTTAACTGTATAACTTTTTAGCTGCAAACACATTTTACTAATGCAAAGAACCAACCCGAATTAATATTGGTTCTTTTATGTGCTAAAACAATCTCACTCATGGAACCACTTATTCTACAGTCCCATCTGATGGATTGATCTTCCATGTCCCACAGAAATACTGAACCTATGGAAAAGTGTCTTGTTGTTTCTAAATGATATACAATAGTTGCATATACATTGTACAATGGAATATTTTCAAAATATTCTTATTTCCATCTGAACATATCTCCAAATATTCAACACAAGCTATACATGTACATACTAAAAATATATAGAAAAGAATAGACCTAATTTCAGGAGGTGCGTCTGGTAGAGGACAAACTCCTAAATCTTCGATCACCTCCCCCATGATCTTTGCAGCTTGTCGACTCTCCTCTTCTGCAATGTCTCTGTACCAAAGAAATAAACCTGATGGGTTAAAGGCAGACCAAGAGCAACAAAGTGAAAGAGGAATTCCAAATTCAAATTATGTTTTTTTTAATATCCGACGCCAATATGAGATGATATTCTTTGTTTATATTTGACGATTTCCACAATATCTACACACTCAGTTGTCATTAAACAATGAATTCATTTGATTTAGAGTATCCACCATGTTTATTGTATCCTTGTGTTATTAACAATTGGTTTGAACACAAATGACTAGTTTCATAAACAAACATTGCTATGACATTGTATAGAACTTACTCCATCTCCATTCTAAATGAATCATTTGCAGCCTGTTGAGTCGACTTTTTGGCAACAGCTTCAACATAGCCTCCAGCCCTCCGTTCCATGCTTTTTAAACTTCTCTGGTTGATGGGTTTGATATTTAATGTTGAAAGGAGATTATTCATCCTGTCTGGTCCCCCAATGCTATCGATCATAGCTGTAAATAAATATTAGCCACAATATAATTATATGAATGTATATATTATTGTTTTAGGAATGAGGGAGGGATGTGTGCCTGTTCATATAGATGTCAGTAAAAATTCAAAGTTAAATCAATACTTTTTATAAATCGGGCATAGCTACCGCGCACCCGGCTACCCGCCAGGTCTGGGAGCAATACTGCCTTAAATTTCATCCCCCCACCCCCAAGACACAAGGACAACTGTCACAAGCGTGCAATGTCTGACCCTTTTCCCATGTTGAAGCATACTGGAAAAAAGCTTACTATACTTACTTACCTTTCGTTGATAAAACAAGACAACATTGCAAACATAAGACATTAATAAAACATATGATATCATCATGACATGAACAATAAGAAAGCCATGACACTGAAATATCTGATCGAAAACAGGACGATATTTGTGCTATGCATCCTCGGAATGCCAAAACTTTATGATAGCATTTTATTGGTCATTAAATGTAAAACAAAAATAAAATTTACCTGTTCCAAGCTTTGTGTTGATAACAAAACATGGCATCCCTGACTTCCCCTTCTTCTCCCTGTGTGTCTTCCCGTATGGAACCATGTTTATTTGCCCACATTCCGCGTTCTGACATTTCACGTACAAATAGCCGCTAAGTCCTTTCCTCATCTCACCGACAATATTCCCATACGTTAATGGAATAGGGCCCAATTTGCAGTACTTGCAAGCGACGAGATTTGAGAGAAGTTCCCTGAGCTCGACGATCCTCCGCCCTTCTTTCCATCCATCTCTGCTTGCGTATTTGCCGGGTTTGATGTTTCGAAAAAGTGGACAGTCGTCGTCCTTGCAAGGATCACCGTAGCAAACATGACAAGCTGGGTAGTTGTGGTCGATGAGCACGTTCGATTTTAATATTTTGGTGTGATTATCGGTCTTTTTCTTTTTGAATCGACCACAGCTATCTCTGTCAGTCGCCATGATTGTTTACAATAAGGGGCATAACTCTTACTCGGTATTACATCACCCGAACATTGCCGATGTTGGAAACATCGGCAAAAGTCGTAGTTTTCACCGGAAGTGTCCCATTATACAGGGAATACCTTAAGTATCCTATATGTACAGGTTACATCTAATACAGAAATTTTGAGGTCTGAAATAATACCCCGCTTTAATATTTTATATTGTAATGTTGAGAAAGAGTCCGTTCTATCGCTATTATATTTCATCTTTCACTGGAACAGATGTGAGCAGAGTTGAAGGACTTTCTAGTTGAATATTATCCGTCGTACTGATCTGATCAAGATGGATGCACAACTCTTTATAGGGAACTAAATCGGGTAATGTAACTCCTGATTTGATGTATTGTCGAATGTTATATAATATATTATATAGTGTAACTGCTAAGAACCCTCCAAAATATATTGCCTTTTCTCCAGTGTCTATTTTCAGCAACCCATTCGACTCATTTTGTGTGAGACTAACTCCATTAGGCTTAAAAATTTCATCATTGAGGGAGCATACGCTGTAATACCCATCGGGTATAGTAATGGACCCGCCAACACTTAATACAAACATATTATTATATCTTGCAGCACTTATATTGGTCCACCGCGGGTAATACGTTACATCGCATAGAGCGACTTCGAGTTGACCATCCGAGTTATCGATAGTATGAAGCAGTTGAATAGACTGACTATTTGTTATTCCCGGGAGTGTAACATACATATTAAATATACAATGATACTATATCATAACTTAAATATGGAATCGAGATACATTACTAATCAATCGATTTTAGTAACTGCCTCTGGTTTTGATTTTTTCGTTAAATTCCCTGATATCGCAAACACGAACGTCCATTATTGGTACTGGGACGGCGCTCGATGCGCAAAAACAGTTTGTCGCAAACGTGGAGGACGCCATTAATTCACCAGTTGACATACCA